GTTTCTGTTTCAAGGATGAGCTAGTTCATGGTATCATGGTATGTTTGATGCTCTTTAGCCGACATGTTGGGTTTGTCTGGAACCTGTGAACTCATCTGGACTAACCTTTGATCAAACTCAAGTATATACAGATATATATATATATATAACATGTATTACGCACTTCTATATCTAATATACACATATATATTGATGAACTAAAGATACCCACTAATACTGACCAAATAATTATATTATATTCCAAAAGGAACAAGTGCCAGAGCTGGGTATGAGGACATCTTAGCCCATGGCTAACTGGTTGTGGCGCGTTTGGCTCACCAATTGATCACCTGTCTGCATCACTGCTTGGACTTTTCCCGACCCAAAATTCAATTGTGTCGTTCACTTGGCTCTCTCCCACCAGACAAAAAGAGTCAATTTTTAAACCCTTAATTTCCTTCACTCCCCTCCTATAAATTCTTTCACTTTCTTGATTCATTAACCAAACAAGATCTCTCTGCTTTATATATATTATATATCACTTTTTTCATACAACGATAGCAGGTATTTGTACTTGTAGTATTATGTGATATGGAGCTTCAACTAGGCCTCGCTCTTCCCACCCAGAATCTCTCAAGGGGGTTTGATTTAAATGACGTCGTTATCGGGTTCGACCACAAGGAGAATATGGAGAGTTTGGAGAGTTGTGAAGGAAGACCGTGTTTGGGTAGAGAGAAGTTTGTGAAGAACAAGCGTGGGTTTGGCGAGGCGTTTGGGAAAATTAATTTTGATGGGTCCCAAACAGTGCCTTTGCTTGTGTGGAATGGAGGGGAGTCAAACGAGGATGACGATCGTCGAAGAGGAGAAAAGAAGAGTAATCATTCCTCCGCCATTAACAAGTAAGAAAATAATCACTCTAATTAAGTGATCTTTTCCAGATTTAGTTTGTGAAACCTGAAGAACTCTTGGGTTTTGATCGGAACAGGAATGGCGAGGAGGAGAATGGAGTTGTGGGGTGGCCGCCGATCAAGTCGTGGAGGAAGAATATGTTCTTGCAGCACGAACAACGTGGTGGTGGCAGGATGAATATCACTCATAACAATAACACTAATCAAAGGACGGCATTAATGGCGGGTGTTGCAGAAAATGGGGTTGGTTCATCAAAGCCAATGTTTGTGAAAGTGAAGATGGAAGGAGCAGCAATAGCAAGAAAAATTGATCTGAGCCTTTATCATTCTTATCAGATTCTCAAAAACTCTTTGATCGCCATGTTTGCTAAATGTAAGCTCGCCGGCTTTATACTTTCTTTGTCTTCATTAATAAAGCTTGACTGGTTCTGTAATGACCGTCATTTTGTTGTATCTGCAGATCAAAGCTGCGACACTAATGGCGTTGCAGGTTACACACTGACTTACCAGGACAAAGAAGGAGATTGGCTACTTGCAGGAGACCTTCCATGGCAGTAAGTAAAATA